AACATCTTGCACAGACCGCCGATGGCATTCTGGTTTCCTAAAAGGCAGCCACTCTGACCTTGCACTGACCACAATCCTATTTTTATAAATGATCAGAAAAGAGGAAGCGGGCTAATGGGTCCTCCACAGCGGTGAGATGTCTCTCTGTCACACTTCATCTAGAGTGATGCTTTAAGATTGTTTCGGCGCTCAGGCCCAGCAATTACTGCCCAATTCCAATCTACTCTACAGCAGCGCTCTAATGAAAAATAATTAAGAGGCTGAAAATGAGTTTTCGCATGAAATGGTTTCTGTGGTCAGAGACAATAGTATTTGGCAGACGGCTGTGCAAGTGTGTTATAATACAGCGAAGACACCTCATCATATACCAGGTGCATTTGGCAATCTTCAGGGTCATTCCTCTCAACAAGACAGATAGCAGTTAAAAAATGTTTAATTCCAGATTATCAGTAATATATATATATATATATATATATATATATATATATATATATATATATATATATATATAAACAGTTATTTGCTACAACTTACCTGGCTACACATGTGTGCTCCATGTTGATGCGCCACATTTACAGGCAAGATGACAAACCATAGGTGAATAAGTTGCTTGTCTTACATCTGCAGGGTTGCAGGTTGGAGCCCCCACTCAGTTGTTGTTTCCTTGGGCAATACATTTCCGCCGCCTTGCCCACTGTTATCACTCAGAGTGCCAGGTGACACAGATGTACAGCACCCTTGCTTTTGTCGGTACGCCCAAGGGCATCTGTGCCTTTTATGTCGTTTCCCACCCAGCTACATTGTGTGCGAATGTTTGTGCATGAATGACTGAAGGAAGTGTAAAGTGATTGTAAGTCTCCTGATTTGAACTGGCACTATTTATAAGCCATTTAGCTTGATTGCAGAAAGTAATACATTCTCAACTGCTTTTAGAAACTAACAATAGGTCAATTCTGGGCATTCAGAACACTCTGGATCAACAAATTGTATAAAAAACAATAAAGTGTAGTTCATTTAAACAAGATCATTATTAGGTTTTTCGATTTTGATCTCATTCAATCTTAATTGAATTGAATTCAGTTTAAGTATATAGCTCCAATTCATAACACTTGTCATCTCAAGGTACTTTAAAGAGACAATTCAGCCAGATCATGCATACAGATTGATTCAAAGTTTCAAAGAACCAGATGAGCCCAATCTGCACAGGTTAAACCAGATTAGATTTGCCTGGTTCAGTAGATGAGCAACACAAATAGATGACATATGCCAGTGGCGTAAATATCAGTAAGCAGAGACAGCAGCTGCTTACATGCCCATGACCTCTTAGGGGCCCCATCAATGACACCTGGTTGGCCCCTACACAATTGTAGACTAGGTTGTCCCTTTGAAAATGTAATGGTGCGAAAAAATCCTCTTAAACCCACCTGATGCTGAAGTGACTGACCGCACCGTATTTATACAGCAAAACATGGCAGATTTCAACATGATGGTGAGCCGTTTAAACACGACACCATAAGCTAAGCAGACAGAGGTACTTTTAAATGCTATGTTAATACATGTGTATAGTTCATTAGATGGTTGGTAAAAATACAGAGTCGATAAGCATCTCCCTGAAATTTTTGTAACGCCACAACAAATCCCATGATGCTTTGAAAGGAGAGCTCTCGCAAAGCAATCTGGGATATATCTGCAAATCAGAGGATAACTAAATAGCCTTTTTACCAGATTTCTTTAGTTTTTGCTTCTACATCTGAGCTATTTCTTATATGTATTCTTGAAACCTTTGAATATCTAATCTGTCGTGCTGTGTATCCGCCATGTCCTGAGTGTGTGTGCATGCTTACGCGTCTCTGTATTACCCTGCTATGGACTGGCAACCTGTCCATGGTTGTTAATGCCCAATCCGAAGCATGATCCGTCCTGAGCAAAAATACTGAAAATACTTATTTATATACTTAAAACATTAAAGAATCCTAAACTACATTGTAAAGAAAATATTAAAGACTTTTGTGGAAGAAATCTATGTGTTTTACATTCTCTCCATTGTATTGCGTGACGTCATCATCAGACAGGCTCAGAGCAGTCACATTAACATTTCAAAGGCTATTTAAGTGTATTGCTTTTTTGGTTTTTAGAATAGGCAATATTTACACAAATATAAAAATATTCTACAGGAACCCTCATGCTGGAAAAAGACAAAACTATAAAAAAGTAAGAAAAATGAAGCATTGCCTACCAGGAAGTTATTCTGTTTGCAAATGCTCAGGACGGATCAGGTAGTGACAATGATGTGCCCTGTTTTTTGGCTGGACATCTTTTACCCCAATGTAAAAGACAGATGGATTAGTGTTTCTCTCCATCTTAATTTCATAAACATGTTGCTATACTTTAAAGCTGTGCTATAATTTCTTTCAGGATATTCTAGACAATATTCGTAGAGTTAAATGAAAAAAAAAAGGATCAGATTGTTTTATAATAACGAATCCGTAAAAGGTGTATTTAAGTACAGCTTTAGATTAAACATATATCACAGATTAATGCATGAGGTTCACTGCTGATTAATGGACTGTGTTGCATGATGTAAAAATGTTTGCCACCATTGAGCAGCCATTCCAGCCCAGAAGAATTGGACTACATATCCCAGCATGGCTTGAGTTCATCTCCCTAACTTATTACTTCCACAGTTATCTATAAACATACAATATAGGGATTGTTTTTTTTTTATATAATTGTTTTTGTTTGAACATTGTCCGGTTATTTCTAAAATATCTATTCTAAGGACATAATTCTTAGCGTAGGGCTTGACTTTTCCAAAAATGGGGACGTCTTCTGTGTCCCTGATATGAGATAAATCAGCCTTACTCCATAACGGTAGCATTAGGCCGCAGCCCCCATGTTTAAAAGAATAGTGTGACCTGATTTTGCTGTTTAAAGGACATCTGACAATCCAGCCTATCATCCCCATTCACCTTATGTTCTGCTCATTTCAAACTGCTTTTTATTGAAAGTTCTTCTAAACAATGTATCCCAATATGGGAAATAAAATAATAAGTAACATGTACAGCAGTAGCTGTATTCCTTTCTAAATTATAGTCACATGTTTTCCACAGAACAAATGACCTCACAGATTAAGGCCACACTGCTACTTTGAACGGGTTTGCTTATCAGTGCCATGTAAAACACTGATCGGTTTTGTTTGGAAATTGTAATTCCTAAAAGTAGATTATTTGATTTACAGAGTTATAATTTTTACTGGAAAATGTTATTTGTTTGATTTCCCTTTTTTTGTTGACATACTATTATTGTATCATAACTTTATACATTTATTGATCACAAACATTCAAAGCAGATACGTAGCTTTTTTAATAAAAGTAAATGTTTAGACCATGCATATGTCAGCACAAGATGTATTGGATATGTCTATATTTAAAAAAAAGACATATATATTTTTCACAAGGTCTCTTTCTACACATATATTGTTAAGGATAGTCTCTATATCTAGATATTGAGGCTTTCCCTCTTCGGTTTATTTCCTGAAAAGAGGACAAAGTGTTTGAATAACACTTAATAACTTATATGTATTAAATAACCTGGAGACATGACAACAGATTTAGGTAGAAATTTTGATCTTAATCAGATTAGAGAAGTTGCTTAGAGTTACAGAAGGCAGCTGCTTACCAACCGCGCTCACCTCTAAGGAAGTGGCCCCGATTTTATACAACTCTACTCTGCCACATCATCACATTTTACATGTTTGTAAATGAGGAGACATCCATGTCTCCAGCCTTATCACAACATTACCCTTTGTTCTTAGCTGAAGGATGCCGCTCTCATTCCATTCTCAAATCTTTGCTACGTACAGATGAAGATTATAACTGTATAAGGCAGGACAGAGGAACTGCCCTAATTCTATAAACTACTGGGAAAAACATCAGTTCTGACACACAACTGGGAGCTAAAATGAAGCTGTAATAAGCTCATAATTATCCTAACAATATGTAGAGTCAAATAGTGTACATTGACTCTTTTAGAGTTATTACAACAAAAACTGGGATAAGATATACATTACATAGAGTTCTAAAACCAAATGTACTTTTAAAGGTGGGGTATGTGATGTTTTCTGGAGCATGTTTTTACCATACTGATTGAAAACCTCCTCACGAGCCCATTGCGCCAACTGAGATAGAATGTTTGGAAAAAAAACGAAATCTTTTAGTCCAGTGTAGAGGGCGTAGTCAGAGGAAAACGCAAACCAATAGAAGTAACTATCATCCCTACTTCTACTGGTTTCTGGCACGCCCATCAACCGTCAGCTCTGAGCTCTCCCCACCCCTCCCCCCTGCGCGTTCACAGACTCGTGACAAGTGCCGGCGCAGGAGTCATTTCAGGTAACTCCACCCTACCGTGAACTTCAAATGCTACTAGAGAGCTAGCTAGCTAGCTATCAAGCCCAACTCCACAGATTTATCTCACACAGCCAGAGAGAATATTGACTATGGCAGAAAAGACGACAACAACGGGTTCGAAAAGAAAAGGCAAAACTGTGCTTGAAAAAGCAACAGCTAGGATAAAAGCTACAGAAGAACGAAACAGGACGAGAGTGGTAATCGGTACAGCTTTCCAACATTGGCGTCAACTGAAAGAAGACAGGGGACTACAGACGGATGCTAAGGTGGCCTTGTTTCTACTCGATAGGTAAGACAACGTTATGTTTTCTTATATGTTGAGATAATACTTGGTTACTTCTTATTTACCACATTAGTGAGAAAGTCAAAGATGTCGACTACATGCAATGTCCCAGCATGTTTCTCTAGCTTACTAGCTCCGTCTGAAATATTGATTGCTATCATGGCACTATAAAGTATTATCCTCCTTGACGCTGCATTCCTGTCCAATCCATGCTTGTAAACATTTTGTAAGATACGCTTTATGTGGTACAAACACCGACGTTCAGGTTGTACAAATTGGTGTTCTTTGTTCTTGTTAGCTATGATGTGTCCATGGCACACACCAGTTCCACTCCAATGAAGATCAGCGTCTTGAAGCCCCCTCCTGCCCCTTCTCTGTCGAACATCGGTCCCGAATCCCGTGTACACTCAGACGAGTAAGTAAAACTACTTTAGATTTTGAAAAACGATTATTTATTCCCTTGAGAAACTTTTATTTTTTACGTTTTGTTGTGTAATGTGATCATCACTGATGTTTTCGTGGTTGCACGGGTCAGGGTAAATGTAATGTGATGTCGGGGAACAATCGATGCTAATGCCACTATTTTATGGATTTAATTAATTTGATGTTGGAGGCTTATCAGTAATTCCAGTACTTTAAATACTGATTAATGCACAAGTTTTTAAAACAAAAATTATTGCGATTAGCTGTGGTTGTACTGTACCACCTGATATTAGAGTCTCCAAATACGGAATTGATCCACATATAGATGAAGTCTCTCTGAGAGTAAATGATAACATGGTACTTGTTATCTTTTTGCTGTACCAGTATGTACACTTCCTGCAATGTCCCTGTTGTACAGTTTCCACGACTTGCTTTCTTTTTTTGACAACAACCCATATTAACACATTGTAAATGTACTGCGCACCTTGTGTCTAGGAAGAAACAGTTGTAAAAGAGATTTATTGTCAGGGGAATTGTATTGGCCTGATTCTATGCTGTTTCTCCATCTGTTATATGTTTCACAGAGATGATCCGTTCATTGAGGGGATAGAGAATTTGGACAGCAGAACACAAGAGGGTGATGATGAACAGCCGGGTACTAGGTATGTCATGTGAAACACTTTTCAGCCACAACTCTGTGAAATATATCAAAAGGAAACCCTGTAAATTACACACAAGTTCATGATGTTCTGTCCTCTGCTTTATTTATCTGATTAGTTCATCTGCATTGGACGCATATGCTGATGTCAGTGAGGAGCAGTTCAATGACATTCAAAATTCTACGTAAGTGGTGTTCTCAAAACAATGTATGGACATAAAAGCTAAGAAAAAAAACGAGACCTCTTTTAAATAATGTGCATTACTACTTAGAATTGACTGGGGTGATGATGACACCTGGGACCCTGACTGGGGTGATGATGACACCTGGGACCCTGACTGGGGTGATGATGACACCTGGGACCCTGACATGGAGGAAGACTCTGTCTCATCGTTGGAGGAAGATGTGACCAAGGAAATTGACACATACAGTGACGAGAGTGATTCTGATTATGTGCCTCGTGTTTGTGTGCGGTAAGCTATATTCTGTACCACTACCTTACCTTACTATCTGTGAGTGATGTTGTTATTGCTGTTATCATTTTTCTGTATCTTGTTTATTCTACAGAACAGGAGGTGCTCTGACGACGAACCTACGTTTGGAAACACTGCCAACAGTCACCTTAGAAGAATCGGTTCTTGATGTGGACTTCAACCGTGATCCGGCAAGGCCAGACACGCCGTTGCCAGAGGCGATGAAAGTTGAGGTAGAAGATGATGTGATTGGCCATCCTGCGTCAATTGTGTACCACGATTGTCTGAAGCAGCTTGCGGGGTGCGTTGCCTTGCCAATGGCCGAATGCACAGAAAAAGAACCGATGACAAACAAGCCGTGCCCTGCAAAGGCGCCTTTTGAAATTCGGGTAAAATCCCGGGGCACAGCAGCTGTTGTAGAATGGGTGAGTTGTCACAAATGTATTATATATTTCCATATGAGTCATATGGTGAAGTGGCTGTTCTATGTATTCTGTTAAACAAACCCCCCCATCCCCGTTTTTGACTGTGTTTTCAGATGTGCTCTCGGGGTCATTTGGTGTGGCGATGGAGTTCACAGTCCATGTTCAAGTTTGGAATGTTGGCCGGGGACTTCATGCTAGCCACCAATATATTGCTCTCAGGCAACAACTATGCCAAAATTGCACTGCTTTTCCAGTTTATGAATATGGGGATGGTTGACAGGACCAACTTCTTCAAGATCCAGGACTCCTTCTGTGTTGAGAGCGTAAAAGAGTTCTGGAATGACAAGAGGGCCAAAGTGATTGCTCAGCTAAAACAACGAGGGCCTGTTGTGGTCCTTGGTGAGTTGTGAAGACACACACACACACACACACACACACACACACACACACACACACACACTCTAATTATTTCTCATTTTTTATTCAAAGGTGATGGTCGTATGGACAGTCCGGGGTTCTGTGCACAACACTGCACATACACAGCCATGGATAATGATTCGAAGCAAATAATTTCCATGGTAAACCTTGACAAACGGGAGACTAACAGAAATTCTGTCATTATGGAGAAGGAGGGCTTTGTGCGTACCCTGGAGACACTTCGTGAAGAGCTGAATGTGACCGAAGTTTGCACAGATGCACACAGTCAAATAGCAGCACTTTTTAGTAAGTAATTTCTATATTACTGTACAGCTTCACCATACAGCTGTTATTGGATGATGTATTCATCATCTTTCTGCACCATTCAGATAAAGGGCTGTTCAAAGACAGTGGCATACACCATTCTTGGGACATCTGGCATGGCTCGAAGAACCTCAATAAGAAGCTTGTGGCGGTATGTTTATTTGCAATTGCATGCTTTTGATCCACTAACTTCATATGTGTTTTGCGAGATTTCTGACATTGTTTACTGCTCTGATATCCTGTTCAATGTCCAGGCAGGACAGCAAAAGGGATGCGCTGGTTTACTAGCATGGAGCAGGGATATTTGCAACCATTTCTGGCACTGCTGCAAGACTTCAAACTCCTATCGACAGTTTATGGTAAGTAGCCTAGTACAGAAATATTAAAATTTTTAATTGATGTCCTCATTGACTGGACAATGTAAGCATAGTCTGGCCACATTTCTCCTCAATATGTTGGTGGTAGATGTCATCCAGTTTAATGTACACTTTGTGTAACTTAGTAACCTTACATTTTTCTTACTTAGCCAAATGTTGGGATGGTACAGTGTAACAGCAACTATTGTATTGCTGGTAACACCATCTTGCAGGAAACGTCATGTCAATTTATACTTACCACGGGTTATTTGTCCAACAACATTGGAACCTTCTTACGCGCACTGAGACTCCTTATTTGAGAATACAACTCCTTACTGCTTGTTTTTAGGACATGTGGTCGGGACTGCTGCACCATGTCACCGGAGAGCATGAGTGGTCCCTGTACTCCTGTCACCATGGCCCTCTGGAGGACAGCAGAGACAAGGAATGGATCGAGGCAGACAGTTTGGCACACCAAAGACTGAGAGACATTGTTCTCGACGCACGCTGGCTGAAGAACATTGACAAATACCTTCACTTCAGGTAAACCTGCAAATGGTCATGACTTTCCTCTACCCAGAGCAATGGCCTTTTGGCACCGGGTATGGATTATTATTTACATTTTGCTCACTACATTTCAACTCCTCAACATTTCAGGTTGCATTGAATTATGAGATACATACTTTGTTGTTATTGATTCTTTGTGTGTTTATGGCACCTGGTCCTTCACTGCTTTGTCTGGTTTATACAATTTGACTATGTAACTGTGCAGTGCCACACAAAACTGCTAATTGATAACCCACTCTTACACATGATATATTTTAATCACAGGTGTGTGTGGGTGAATTCTGAATTTACCTAGGGCATCAGAGCCATCAACTGTCTCTCCTGAATCCACATTCCAAGCCTTCTCTGCTGAGACCACTACCAGTCGTTACTATCCCCCACCCCCATCCCCCTATCTCCCAACCCCCTGCTGTTGTATGACTCTCCTTGCACACTTTGGCTTTTCCACTCATTTGTCTATGCAGCTTGTTACCAGGCAGACTTTCGGGTGCATCAGGAAGCAGTCCATCTGTGGAGGTGTGTCTTTGCCTGGCTGGCATGGCCATCAACTGTGTGTGTTTGTGTGTGTGTGTCCCAAATTGCTTTAGACCAGAGTATCTGCACTTTTTATGAACAAACACCCTCTGGACATAATAAGTTGTCCAAAGTCCCCCTGACCTCATCATAAGCCCGCCAACGTACCAAAAAATGAAATGTACTTCTGCCACCCAATGGCAACGAAGCACCACCCCCTCTAGCTAGCTGCAAGGCAGACTTTGGAGGGCCCAGCCGCCGTGTGTCTTGGCCCAGCTGGCACACCCATTGTTTGTGTCTGTACGCGCATGTGTGACTGTAGTCTAGTTTGTCTAGTTCTCTATGCGAAACACTGCAACACTCTTCAGTCTTTAGGGTTGCTGGAATCCATGGACAAACTCTACACATCAGCAACACTTTCCACCTTTGGGTTTACTTGTCCACTTAGTTTGTATTGCTGATTCTCTCTTTCTTTCCAGGTGAAATTGATTGTATGCAGAAGGATTCCAGATGACTTCTCTACCTATTGTCTGAACAAATTACAAATGTGATGTATGGCTGATGTGCAATTTTTGTTATACTTTGTCTAAAATTAAAATCCACCACAAGATCTTTACAATTTCTGCTTTTCACTCAGGTCAACGGCAGATTTGGAGTCGTTTCATAACCACATACTTATGTATGCAAGCAAACGCTACAGCTTTTCCCCTCCTGTCTATGAAGCGCGTACTTTGTTGGCTGGCCTGGACTACAACCATCACCTGAAGAGACCAGCCAAGAGAAAGGCGGATGGCACAATTCAGTATGTATCATCATAAACATTTCTATACAAGTTATGTCAATGTATTCAAATGTCTTTACAGTGATGATGGCAAATGGATTTTCATTGAACAGTTTTACAATATGTTAGCAATATGTTGTTGATCACGAAACACAACCTGGGGACCCAAGAAGATTTGCAGCAGCCATCGCCTAATTGGCTGGAGAGAGGGTCCTAACATCAGAGGGTAGCAGGTTCTAATACCACCCTTACCCTCTCTCCCCTTACCCTTTCCCTCACACCTCCAATCGTGGCTGATGTGCTCTTGAACAAGGCACAAAATTCCACACTTGACTAACACACCCTGTAAAAGCACTATCTGAGTGTAATGAAATGTAAATTAGCTCTAAGACAGTCTGTCACATTTCATGTTTCAGGTACGGGAAGTTGTACAATAAGAGGTCCAGGAGCTGGAGGCTGCATATGGAAAAGGTTGAGAAGGACTACAGCTACATCGATGACCTACAGAGAACCATTCTGCGTCGTAGACTGGCTGCCACTAGAGGAATGGCTGACCCGAGACCCTCCAGACCAGATGACCCGAGAAGACTTGGCCCTCTCTCTGGTGTACCTGCCCCAACAACCCAAGAGCTGCTACTGAAGCAAGTCAGCAGAGGGCTTGGTAAGTACCATTGACACTCACTGTTCAAAATTCGTGGCTGCTCACATTTGAAAGTTTCACTATTGTCAGACATGTGACATATGATTCTGTTTTATCTCTTTACAGCACAGACTCCTCCACCTGCTGACTAGTTCTTCAGCTGTTGTTCTCCTTTTTTGTATGGTGGTGATAACTGTAAATTTGTATATATTTTAATTTGCCCAACATTTTTTTCAACTGTCCACACATGACAATATGCCAATAAATATTCTTTTACACTATTTTACTGTGTATGTCTGTATTTTGTAACCATTCTGTGGTCAGAAAATTGATAACATTGACAATTTGTATTCCACAAGACAACAATAGTAAGGATTTTTGAAATTATGCTTTTATTTTCAAATGCACACGCAAATGTCAAAGGTAGAATGGTTCAAAACCAAGAGAACAGTATCCATGCAGATGTATACAACTACAAATAACAATAATTATACAATACAACTATGTACACAAAGACAGTAGGAATAAAAATAATTATAAAGTTATGTACATCGCCAGTTTGTGTTCACACCCTACTTGCTACAAACCCTCTATACTGGCCCAGTGGATCAGGATAACGGTCACGGATCCTCCATACGCAGCAACTGGGTATAACGACACGCCGGCCGTGACCCAGTGCCCCATACTGCCACACCACAAACTGTCGGTAGGCTGCATGCCTGAATCTTCTGTTGCTTTCTCCAGGTCCAACAACATCAGCCTCTGCCCGCACTTCTGCCCAAATTCTCCCTGCAAAATTGAGAATCCCCTCTAACAATATGAACTCGTCCATGTGTTGCATCATGGCGATGCAGGAGTCGGCCGGTTCTCCACAACACTTTCTCTCAATGTCGGTTGGCATCTCCTTGCATTGGTGCAGACGCACCAGGTAGGTTGGGCTGCAGGGGGCTGTGGCTGCGGACCTGGAGGGCCAGATGTCCGGTGTGCTAAGTCGAACATCAGGCTGGGGTCACGGGTCAGGGCGCCTCGCAATATTTCTCGAGCTTGTTGTAAATCCAGGGATTGAATTCGGGCCTGTAAAGAAATAAATGTTTTATCTAGTGCCTTTCCTTTGTCATATGAAGTAGACAGAGGTGTCACAAGTAAAAAAAAAAAAAAAAAAAAAAAAAACTTAAATTCTAACACAAGTTGAAATCTGAGTAACCAGTAGACCTGTGTCTTACAATCAGTTAACTCTGCACTGGTTGGATCAAGTTTGTGGGTGGGTCCTTGATAGGTTTTCAGTGTTTTTCAGTAACAACACAGTCCATCTATTTCATATGGTACAATGGAGTACATGGTGTAACAGCTATGTGATGTCATGTGCTAGTGTTGTAATTACACCACAAATGTACTTTCATTTTTACTTTTGACACCTCTGCCAGTAGATGATGACTAAGTATTGCCATTGACCATGAGCCCGGTGTGGACATTACCAATTCAGTAATTGCATTTATGTTCCTATAATACCATGTTGTTGAGACTTCCATTTGAATAAAAAAAAGTATTGTGTCAGATTCAAACAAATATGAAGTACAATGTGTCTTATGGATCTAATTACAAGACAACTGATGTTATGTAGCTACAACCATCTGACGTTGCACAAGTATTGTACTAACACTTCACTTACAACACTTCTTCATACATCTTTGGAGCTAAACAGTTTATGGCATTAAAACCTAGTATGTGATCAACCTACATCCTCATTTGCAATCCTGTCCGCTCGCATGTCTCGAATTCTCTCAAAGTCCTCCTGCGTAAGTTCAAGACCCCACGGTTGAGGTCTCCTTCCCCTGGGTCTTCCTCCTGCTGTCCCAGCTCTTCCTCTGCCTCTGCCTCTGCCTCTGCCCCCACGATCGCTGCCCCTCGGTCCACCTCTTGTACTGGTCTGGCGTTTCGGGCGTTTGGACGTCGGCTCAGGGGAGCTAGAGGAGCTGTCGCCGTGGAAGCTCTAAAATAAATAAAGCGTGGACAACACCGTCACAATCACCTCAACTTCATTAGCGTTGATCTGTTCTGTTGTTTTCTTTGCTCGCACAAGTACACTATAGCCTAAGCTACGGGCGACATCCCCATTTTACAAATGAAAAGAATAGTCAGGTTTAGCGTAAGTTAGGCTGTGGAATTTCCCCGTAAGATTCGTCCGTAACAAAAAGACAACGGATTACACTGTCAGGTATGCATGCACACAATAGTAACATACATATTACACCTATAGAAATATGTCAATGTCCGTCCTTTTTTTTTTTTTTTGCTAGGATGACAACAGTAGGTCTCTGATCACCACTGTTATTACTACAGTGAGATTGTGTGAGTAACACGTATCAAAACAACAAGTAAAAGAACAACGACTTGTCTAGTATACATCTACTATCAATACTAGGGTGACCATATTTTCATTTGGGAAAACCAGGACACCTTGGAGCGGGGGGGGGGGGGGGGGGGGGGGGGGGGGTTGGGGTTGATTGAAAGAACAAATGTCTCATCATCGGGAAATTGGAAGTTCAGTTTAATATAATACAACTCTGTGAATAGTTCCGTCTGAAATGAATGAAAATAGTTGTTTTAATGGTTATTGAGTCAGATATGTGGCGGTAATGTTTGGTTTATCTGAAGGTTTTTATCTGTTATTGTGTAAATGGGTTTGGCTGTAATTTAAGGACAGATTCTAATAGATCTGCAGAGTGGGAACTATAAATCTGATAGGAGTTTAATTTTTTTATTGTTGTTTTGCACAATATGCTTAACTAAGTATTTTTTGTTGTTGAATATTAGAGATTTTGCAGATATATTTTTATACATACATTGTTTAGATTTACTTATGTATTTCTAACCCTTTTATAGTATAGAAAATCCCTTTATTGTCCCACAATGGGCAAATTTACAGCAGCAGAAAGATTATTGAAAATAGTCACACAAATGAGGACCTTAGAAAAATGTATAAGAATAACATAATAGGGAAGAGTTAAAATAAACAATAAAATACTGTAAAGTGTTTTAACAATATAAAACTGGGGAATAAATAACCAATATGCAGCTATGGACATTTTTACAGTAATGGATATTTGAAAATAGCAGCAACATCAGAGATGTGCAAAATGACAGCAGCAGGTTATTTAACTGACTAAGGTTTCTATCATTACATTTGATTTGATTGGTTCCTGCTCCCAATGGTTGGAAACCTTCCACTCTGGATTCTTGTGAGTGTAGTCTTTGTTCACTTTAACTTTTAAAAAAATAAATAAATAAACAAACAGTTTTGAAAACCTTGGTATTCATTCTTTTCCTGCTTTGTGTGTCAACTTACACGGTTGCTAAGCAACAGAGCATACGCCGGTAAAACCCGCTGAAGGGAGGACCTGTTCGAATTTACAGACAGAACTCTTGTGGTCTCCTTATTTTCAAGGACTTCGAAGGGTCCAGTCTAGGTAGACCGCGTCCTTGGAGGATGCAGCCCAGGTTTTTGAACAGAGCCTCTGATTAAGAACAGGGCTGCCTGCACTGACGCGGCTCAGGGATTACGTCACACGGAGCGTCGTGCGCAGTGAAATCAGGACATTTCCTCACTTTCTAAAAAAAACCCGGGACGCCCGGGACAGGACGTGAAATACGGATATGTCCCGGGAAATACGGACGTTTGGTCACCCTAATCAATACTTCTTGAAATGACAACCGTGACAACTTGTTTACGACCATATTGAATTGTTCAACACTCTTACCGTACTAGGAGAAGACGACGCCATCATGGAAGTTAGCCTGTTATGTTGTGGTTAGCTAGTAATAGACATGAGCTTCTCGCCTCATCCCGAGTCACGTGCACTCGCGAGGTCTCGGCCTGTTTCTTTCTCGTTCTCGGGAACATCCGAACATTCTCGACTGACAGCAGGCGCGTTCATGTAATTTGGAGGCGTGGTTTCGTGGGGTGGGCTGAAGGTGTGTATTTTCAAAAATGTAGCTGGCAGGAACCGTTTATCCAGGATCATATACCCCACCTTTAAATGGTTACTCTGACACTGCAAATTTTACCGCGTATCTGTCATGATTGGTTATATTCAAACCCACATGCAGAACACAACGGAGGCTGGGTAAAAGTTTGACAGAGTTTATTTAAGATATGGACACACAAAAACATGAACTGGATCTGGAACAGGTCCGGGTTGGGTTCACTGAAGTCTGCAGAGATGATAGTTTGATTAGCTGGGCAGGCAGATGATTAAAGAGTCCTTTAGATAATTCTGATTCTACCTTGACGGGGTCCAGGCTTCTCTTGTGAGAGAGGGAACCGTTGGGTCCAGAGACTGTTGGTTCAGCAGAGTTCAAAAGCAGCTGCAGCATCTAGCTTCTGACTTTGAATGGCAGACCTTGATCAGAGTTTCCAGCTCTTTCACAGAGAGCAGCAGGGGAAATCCAAAAAGGAATCTTCAGGTTTGGCTCACCAGGGCTGGAAGGCAGGTTAAGCTCGCCCAGAGCTTCAGGCTTGAGACGGGTTTCCTGTGAGCAAAGACAGAGGAAGGTTAGAACCAGTTTTCTCACTTAGAGACAACTTAGATTCTTTCAGGTAACAGAGGCTCAGGTTGCTAACCAAACTAAGGTCAACACTGCAGCGTTGAAGGAAGGTCTGGCAGCTGCTTATGAAGGGAAGGTCTCCTGATGAGTAGATGCGTTTCAGGTGTGCTGGAGGGCTCCAGCCCAGGAGACCCACGGCGCACTCTGCTGGAGGAAGGTGGTACATCCCCAGATCCCAACAGTATCGGACCTAAACAGTTAATTTACCTCTCTGTCCTTCGTAACACCACCCCTCAACCCCCCACCCCCTAAATGAAAACCTGTAATATGAACGTCCATCATGAATGTATGGTGCCTGATCAACAGTCGCTGTAGTCAGAGCTGCTATGTTTTCATGAATAGTCAGTGCATGTAGAGGTCGCACCCGAGGTGTTTTAGGGTGTCGTCTTTCGCTATGATGCTTTACTGCACTTAGCTGCGGTAAAGTCTAAGTAGAAGAATGAGGAGGAGAGCAGGTGTGGTAGGAGTATCTTAGAATCAGATGGAAGGCACTTAATGATTTTGAGAGCCTGACTAGAACTCTTAATGCTACTTTAGCAAGACAAACAATGGCTTCATCACCTACAGAAAAATGCAAAATAAAATTAAAACTTCCACATCATATTGCTTCTAAAGAACTTTACCATGACTTATAAATATAGTGAATCTTTACATGTTTAGTGCATGTTTGTTATATTGAATTATTTAGATATTATTGAAAAGTTTTAGGTTTTGTAGCCAAACCTTTGAACAAATATTTGGTGTTTTGTCTTATTCTTATATATATTTGTCTTATTGTCTTAAATATATGCAAGCATATATATGTTTTTTCATTGGGATAAATAGTATTTTTAGTATTTTTGAACTAAAATAAATGAACATACTCAACAATGCTATCCTCTGTTAGCTTAAAACATAACAGGAAGGGCAGAAAAGAGAATAATAATGATTTCATCAATCAGACACTAAACTTCCCAGTTTTCTATCAAACAGAAAATAATCACAGAAGGAAAAGAGCCTAGTTGTAGTTTCATTGTGTAGTGAGGTTTAAAAAAAGCTTTAAGTAAGTCAATTTTACTGTAATACAATTCCAGTGGTTTAGAGAGAATTTGAGAAATGTGAGAAAGAGTTATTTTGAGTTGAGACAGAACATCCTTCCTCTGTGACTGTTTGCTCTGCACTGCCAGAGTTACAGCTCTCCCTTGGTTACCAGAAAGAAAAACTCAGGTGTTTGGAAATATTTATGATGATGAAAAACTTGTTCAGTTACTGCGAGGAAGCTGAAGAAGGGCCGACCTTCAGAATTATTAAGGTAATTCTGTTTCAAACCTCACTCTGCAGGCGACAAGCACCACATCTGCTATGCAACCAACTGCAGGCTGGCCTCATAAAGCTTCCAAACCATCAAACGCCGGGTTTTCTTTTCTAGTACAAGAATTTCAGAAGATATTTAGCTCACTGAGTTCTGAAAATAGTATTTTAATTGGTCAGCCCTAATTTTCTATTAATTATTTAAAGGAAAAGTTCGGTCAGCAATCAATGGGTCAGTATCTAAACCTAATGATTTAAGAAATTTAGCGTTAATCAGTAAAAAAATGAAAACAATAATTTTAGTTGCAATCACTGAGTCTGGCAGCAGCAATTTTTGACCAAATATAGTAACACCTCACTCCTGCCAAAAGAGTTATTTCCCCTTTCTGATTCCTGATCCTCCACGGACGGGTTGGTCGTTGGATCGCCAACTTGAAGAGGGAGGATTTGCCATCGAACTTTTGGCCAGAGAAAAAACACGTAATATGTAGCCAACATTTGGAAGAAGAATGTTTTCAAGATGACTTGGATAATAGCGCGTTGTGACAAACACCAGATACAGCACTGGGACTTGATCAACAGCCGATACCGCACCGTGACGTCACAAACCAGTAGGTGGCAGTAGTGTTCTTTGACAAACATGGATGCCTCCAGTAAAGCACATTCAAATGAAAATTACTCTGAATTAAAAACACTGATCATTGATTGAACAGGATGGAATCATTTCATATTTAAAAGACTTTCAGAAGTTTGAATTCTGAATATGACTGGATTTTTTCTTTAAGCATCAAAATTAGAAAAAAAAAATACAGTTAGAGACTGTAGTTACTGCTCTCACCAGGGAGGTGAAGGGATTTTTGAACTGAGATCAACCAAATTAGTTCAATAACTAAGTTGTGTTTGTGTAATCTGAGCTTTAACTATAGTGCTCAAGTTTGAACCAAAAAAATCTTTGGGATAATATTTGAAATTGCGCACAAACTACATGGGAGGTTGTTGAATGAAGGCACATCCATGGTATTCAATCCCATCCGTACATCATGACACTGTTTGTTCACCATACAAAATGCCGTTGTATGCAAAACATGTTTTCTTAAAACACTGGTGTTTGTAGTCTTAAATGTAAGCCACAAAATATCAACATAATTGATACATACTGTAAATAAAAATCACATTTATATTATAAGTAGTATCACTGGATTTCCATATAAAATAGCCAAACAAACGTTCTACTAAGCAAACCCAGCTGATTGAATCCAGTTAATGACTTTGCCATCAGTGACTGAAGAAGACAGTGAAGGATGGAAAACATCTCTCCTACTCCTTTCTTCCTTCTTTCAGATTTTTAAATACCTGGGTCTGTACTCTTGGCCTGAGCTGACTTCCCTTTCTTATTTATGTTTAAAGCAGTGAAAACCATGAGGATCCATACTAACACACAGCCAAGGAATCTACTCATTCAATACCTTTTGGATGCATGGTACAATATGCATCCCTATGCTTGCTAAATGGATGATGCATTCTTTCTTAAATATGGTTGAGGCCTGCAAATGCCTTCTTTGCTAACAATGGCCAGCTTCGCTGTCATTAGGAGCATAATATTAACATTCTAAATCTCATTATCTAAAACGAAAAACATTTTAAAATGTTTTCAGTTTAATTTTTGACTACTTTAGATGCTAGCTTGGCTACTAAACATTACGAAACAAATAATCTTCCATATTTAAAAATAGAAATCAAGCACATGATACCCTATTTTCATTGTTTGCTTTTAAAAAACAAAATGGTCCAGCCTTTATTCCACTATTTAAATAAGATTTATCATCTCTGCAGGTTTCTTTCTCTAAGACCCTGGGGAGTGCAAGCCATCCTAAAGATACCTATGTTCCTGTTTACAATGAAAAGTTGGAACTGGGAGCTCAGAACAACTATAACCCAACATTATCTGCTCCCCATCCATCATTGCCTTGCAAACATAAAAAAAAATCCCCAAAAAATCTAGTGTTTATAAATTTAAGATAACATGAGCATTTTTTGTCAGGTCTATGACTCAAATCCTGGAGATAGCACAAACCCAGGTTGCAGTTGAAGCTCAGTTCTGCCCAGACTCTTTATACTTAGAAAACAAGACATTTTTATTGAAATAATCCTTTCTGTTTTTAATTGCTGTGCCCTTGTGAAGCAATTATGTATGTCTGCAAAAGGTGCAATAAAATACATTTTACTTAATTTTTACTAAGAGTTACAACTTGCAATTTGGCTCTTAAAGTTGTTTCTACAGTAATGGCTTCATCTTTCCTGAGTGGCGTTTTAGTCCATGTTGATGCAGGACTCGTGTCACTGCGGATAATACCATTCTTTGCAGATTCCGATAAGGTGGTTTGCCTTCATTTTCATTTTGATACGCACAACATCTTAATCTCTTCTTTTAAAAGTTGGATGGCTGGATATCCCCAATCTGTACATATTTGTGCATAATTGTTTAAAGCTTCCAGTTGGTATATTCATTAGCTAAGGTATCCCTAATGTTAGAGGACCAAGTAACCTTAGTGAAAGTAAGGGTTAGAGTTTGAAGCAGGTAATCTCTTGCAAATCCCAATCTAATTATTCCTGGATTTAGCAAAACTCAGTAATTTAGCTTGACTTTAACTGACATAACACTGTAAAGTTTAGTGTAGTGTGAGGGAATAAAATTAAAGGTTAGGTTTTTTATGCTGCAGCATATGTTAATATCTGGTTTCAGTCATATATATGCAGCTGACAGAACAAAAATCTGCCTTTAAAGAAAAATTAGCTATGGATTTATGGATATTTATTTCAGCGCATCCCATCAGAAATCAATTGAAGGTAGCATTTACTTTACCCAGAGGGAAACAGGTTTTACTGCAATATATCAAAAACAGACATTGGAGACATCAGACTATTGTGTTCCCATTGGAAGACAGGGAAACACTATAGCTGTCAGGTGAAAGAGACAGAGATGGTTCAATGTGAAAAATGACAACATATGAAATGTGGAATGAGTTGTTTTTACCCTCAGAGAACCCAAACATACAGTTTAAGCCTCAGTTTCAGCTTCAGCTTAAAATTAATTACCTTGTGAGAACAAAGCAAAAGCCCCCAAGTTCCAACAAACAT